TTTTAACTAGAGAATAAGATTCAAGATTTTCCTTTTCCCCAATTAACCTAAAGTTCAAAAAAAGTGAGAAAATTGTCAGATAAAAACTAATTTGATCCAATGTATGTACATATGATATATATATACCTATGTTTCCGGTCGATTGTAAGCCGAAATCTTGAAGGTTCGGCTGTGTGGGCTGCAGCCGATAAGCCGACGAGGAGTTTGTGTTCATAAGAGGCAAAGTTGATCCAAGGTGAAGTTCATCTCCAAAAAATGCAAACTGATTTTGGAGCAAATTAGGTTGTTCTTCAAGCAACTTTAGTTCATGTTGTTGTTGTTGCTGCTCGATTTCAACTTGCTTCTGGATTTGATTGCTCATCAGCTGTTGATTTCAAGATTCTTAGTTAGTAATTAATAACGTATAAATTCACATACAAAATAGAATTAAAATTGTTGGATATATATTATAAGAATATTTTTCAAATTAATTTTTTAAATGAAAATGGAATAGCTTGATATAGATGTGTGTGATTAACTAACTATATTTGGTCTACAATGTATCTACAAACAGTATTGTTTTAAATCAAATTTTACCCAATTATACATTTCTTGATTCTCTTTCTCCATCAGCACTTCCTGAAAGAATAACATTGGTAACAAAAGAAATTAAATATTTAAAGAAAAAAGAAGGTAATTTTTTTTTTTTAATAAATTACTATCAACAACAAATAAACATATGACCTAATCAAACAGCTAAAATGAATATAACGAATAAATTAAAATTAACAGTTTTACCGTCCTCTTCAGATTTTCTAGCTGTTCTTGAAGAAGCTGAAACTGCACTCACAATAGAAAAAAATAAAAAGAAAATTCAAAAAAAAGGGTAAAATATAACCGTAAAAAAGTAAGTACAATAACTATTTACTTAGGATGAATTAAACAATTTCTTATTCATTAATTAAATAAGTGAAAAAATATATGTATTTTTTTACCTTGCGAGCTCGAACCTTACGAACCGAGTGTTCAAGCTGTTGCTCGAGCTCGTTAAGCTCCTCAAACTGCACGCTGCTTAAATCATCGCCTTTATACCTCTGAAGGCTCAGCTGAAGACTAAGCGTCTCGTTTTTCATTCGGGTTAACTCTTTGTAATATTGGTCCTGAGATTGATTGTTTGATGAGAAACAAAACAAGAAAGGAATGAGAAAAGAGAGGTAAAAAGATAATAATAAATAAATAAAAAGAGATATTACATTGTATGGAACCGGCCCAGACCGGTTTTCGTGCTCGGGTATGAGGATTCCCTTAGTTTTTACATATCTGTCTATGATCTGCTTCATGCTGTGAGAAAATTTGAAGAAAAAAAAAATATATATATATCAACTTTGTTTTCAATAATAAATAGCCAGCAATGAGTAATTTTCACAGTTGAGCATTAATAAGTGTTGCAAAATTTGAGCTACTAGCTAGTTTTTTTGTTCATTAGTGTTTAAAATTGTAAAATTGCAAAACATGCATTTTGTTAAAAAAAAAAAAATATATATATATATATTCAATTAGTTAGTGGGTGCAATTTTTGCTTGATTTTTATACTTTTGGGCATTTTGTGAGCGGTTTTTTAGTAGCTACAATGCATTTTTGCGCAATCGGGAAAGTTACTATATATCCTCTTTAAAATTCACAACCTATCTATATAAAGACTCCAACATGTACATCAAATTTCAAATTAATCAAATAAAATTTTGCAGATACATTAATTAAGCTTGTTAAAAAGGAAAAGGAAAACGGTGCAGACAACAGGGATCTATATGCTAAGTTGCTACATATCATATCACTTCAGGCAGTGTGTGTTTGTGTGTGAGAGAGAAAGGGATNAGAGGTATATAATCCAGGAAATATACACACCCAATTCAAAAATATATGAAACGTGAAACAATTTGCTACACAAAATGAAAAGGGGCTAAAGCACAATGTAGCTAAATGTGCCCTAATTGATAGCAACTGCCAAGAAAAAGCCGTAATAAATTATTTATTTTCATAACTATCAAATCAGATGTACATTATATAACTTAACACCCAACAAGAAACACCCTTCTCACAGAATTTCATAATAATAATAATAATAATAATAATAATAATAATAAGGAAGAATCTTGAAACAATTTTATGGTGAAATTTACTAGCTAGATTTTTATTACCATAGTGTAGGGGTACAATACTCAGTCAACTTGCCCTTGCTGGAGAAGACAATGAGCCCGATTTGCGCATCGCAAAGAACCGAAAGTTCGTGGGTTTTCTTGATCAAGCCAGCTCGTCGTTTAGAAAAAGTGACTTGACGGCTCGTGTTATTTTCGATCCTCTTCACTTCTATCTTGCCTCTCCCCATTTCTTGCTTAAGTACTAACATAAAAGCCCAAATAATAANTTAGCCCTTCTCTGTTAGGTTAAATTTTCTTGATTTAGGTTTAAGACAAAATAAAAGTGAAAAAATAAAAAATCAAGAATCAGACAGAACAAATTATGCTAATTCAGATCTTGAAATACAAACAGATCTAAAACAAGAATTAATATCATAATTGGGAAATTTCGATGATTTATGGTAAATGGAAGCTGAGAAGAAAAACTTACTCCTATAATCTTTGTGAAGCTTTAAGACCAGAGAATGAAAAAATTAGTAGGGAAAAAAAGAAAAGGGTTACCTTGTTCTTGTTCTTCTTATTTTGCCCTTTTGTAGGTATTTAGGGTTTGGGGGTTTGGTTTGTGGAAGTGTGTGTGTGAGAAAATTGCATGTAATACAGAGTTCACAAGTCTTTTAATTTCCTTTTAAGGTTGTTTATAAGAGCTCGCACAGTGAGTTTAAGCACAGTGAGGTTGTATATATATGTAAATTAATACTCATATGTATGTGTAATGTGTACATTTGCTATAATGGTACATGATGTATATTATACATATATGCATTTTTATGAAGTGTTTTTTGCTAACTTGTAATTATAGTTTTGTTAAATATAACTATCGATTTCTCCAATAGCAATCTCAAGAAACAGTTTTGATATGGAATTATTGAGATGTATCTCTCATTTGATGATCTCAAATATATTTCCAAAAAGAAAAAGTTTTATAATTTTTCTTCAAATGTATGATTTCTTGCCATCTTTTAAGAAAAAAATTAAATACAAAGTAGAAACCTTGTTTTTTCTTCTATATATAAGAAAATAAACCATAGATCCATTAAATAATCATGTAGGGAAAAGTAATTTACATGTGTATATAGTAGGATCGCAAAATAGTTATATTATTATTATCAAAGTTACCAAATACAATATTCAACTGATCATCAAAGCTGTTAATTAATTATCAGCTAATTAAATCCGTGACAAACATGAACATTATACCTTAAAGTGTAGACATTAAATATAAGAAAGTGACACATGAATTAAATTTCAATACACAAACATTCAGTTCAGACAATATTAGGTGCTCCATCCCTCTCGCGTACACTTAATGCATCACATGAATTTTTCTGCAATAGTTTCATATCTGAGGAGTTTGGCTATTTATTTTTATTATATCTAACTTTGATTTTCAAGAAAATTAATTTGTCTTACATTGTGACAGGCCAAGAAAAAAAAAATAAAAATAAAAAAACCCAGTAATATAATAACTTGCTGTTGACGTATAACAACCACTGCCATTTATTCTTTTCCACTATGCGTGGCTACCAAATATTCCTGAATTTTTCCATTTTTGGCTGTTGAATAAAGGGCCAAAATTCAAGGTTTTCCATGTAAGGTAACTGGGGAGAGTTTGGACCAAAGGGCATATCATAAATGTAAGAGACAAAATTGTCATAATTATTTTGGTCTTTAATTACATGCACACCCATGTTAGCTTTGGATGGAAAATCCTTATAGACACTGACAAAGAATAATGCCACATTAATTAGTGTCGTGATATGATTATTGTTGTTTGATGTTTAA